GACTAGTGAAAACTATAATATTGTTGGGGAATTATAAAATGAATTAAGTTGCTTGTGAATTACTTAAATTTGTCTTGAATTAACTTTAACATGAAACAAACTTTCACAAAGTCATTTGACAATGATGAAAGTAGCTTTTTCATCTTTGGAAAGAAACGAATCAATCTTAAGTTTATTATATTAATGGAGCATAAACCACTAAAGGTGTATGTGTCACAATTTTATATAACAGTAATTATGAGATAACAAGAACATTTTTCCTTTTTCTTTTTCTTTTTTTTTAAAGAACATCTGCAAGTTGCTACAACTAAGGGGAGGGGTTAAACACAGCTGACAGCTCCATCATTATTTTAATATGAAGTCAATGACATAGCAACTGCACTTTGTACTGCGAATTTTGAGATAACAATAACTTTTTTAGTAATTAATAGTTAAAGTAATAAATCGAAGCATCACAATCATCATCGTAAATAAAAACCTGTATATATACTAATTGTTTATATTAACTTTTATATAAATTATTATAAGATTTCTATACTATCATGTACCTTTACTTTTGGACAAATTATTAACAATAAGATTTCTATATTATCATGTACCTTTACTTTTGGACAAATTATTAACAAGAAACTAAAGTACAGAGGGAAGAGAAATCATAAGAAAATTACAAAGTCCTTTTTTGAGGTACTCCATGTTGGAATTTAAATATTTTAATAAAAATAAAATAATATATTTTATAAATTAAATTTATTATCCAATTAAGAACTTAATCAAGTTAGTCGTTATAGATTAATTGTCCTATTTAAGGTTACATTATTTCATAATAATAGTTTAATTTATTTCTATCATTAACCTACAAATGAGAGTTATAAGACTATAAGTTTTATAAATAGAACATGTTTATTTGCTAAAAAAAATAGGTTCCTCCACATTCTGTTATTTTCCTTACCTTATTTTATCTTCTAAATATTTTTTAGTAAAGAATGGTGTTTTGAGTAAGATGACTCTATGAATAGCACAGATTCATAAAATGTTATTATAAGGCTGTAACATCCTGGGGATGACATGTTAAATGTATTTTTGCTGCATTGGTTGATCTACTCTCTGCAGAGACATGAACCGCTTTAACATAAGTAAATTTTTTATGCCTATTTTGATGATATTTTTCTTATCGATATTTCCTGATAAGTTCACTAATTACTATTTTATTTGATTTTGTGATTGAGACACAATAATGACATGATGTGGAGATGGAGGAGAGTGTTCGAGGAACAACAATTTTAATGCGCTTCAATATGCAAAGCAAAAGTGAAATATAGGAGGGCTTGTGTAAGCATAATAGAAATTTTTTATCTTTCTTGACATATATGTGCCAAATAGGTATGAGTTCTTGATACAAATTTAGTCAAAAAAAGGAAAAAAAGAAAAAAAGAGAGGTGTTCTACATGCAATTTTAATGTCTCCCATTATGCATACATTGATACATATATGAATTTGTGATTAATTTGGCATAAAGATACATGGCTATTCATAGGTTATATGCAATAGTGATTTATTACTTAATTATATACGAATGGTTATAGACCTTATGATTAACACTTCATGTTATTAGCCATTGGTATTAAATACATATTAAATTTGTGCTTCTTAATTAGTAGATTAATGGTGCATTTTGGCTGTTACTAGTGCTACAGTGGTTATTTTTATAAGAATTATTAGTTAGTCATTTGCTCTTAATGCATGCATATTAATTTGGGGGGTTTTGTCAACAATGAGTATATTACACTAGTCATTTGAATTAAATGTGATTGTGAAGCAAATATATTAATATGATATATTTGGGATATGGGATATAACGGCTTTTCAAATTTGAGAATGATTTTTTATTTTTGCTATTTAATTAGAATGTACATGTAAGCATGTATGACATATTATAATTATTTTATTATTAATATGCATCATTGATATATAATAAATTGATGATTATTATTTTTTAAAGGTTAAAAAAATGGTGAATAAATGTATGCATTTAATTGAGCATATTATTGAGTTTTTTTATGAAAGAGGTGAAACTTTGAGAACCCAAGTGAAAAGCTATTTGAGTTGGTCCATGTAATTATTTTGGTAAAAATGGACATGATATTTGGGTTGATATATTCTAGAAATGTAAGTTAAATTTTTAAGCTTATGTGACTGAGGAGCCATTTATGGCGATAAAATGTAAGATGAGCTAATAAGCTCTTATGAAATCTTGTGAGAAAATGAGTTTCTTCATGAACTCAATTAGTTGAGGAATGTGAAAATCATATATTTGAAATGCTCCTAATGTGGGGGATTGTGATGTCCCTATGTATTATTATTGGTGATGAGACCAATGATGACTAATTTAGATTTTGCATAGCATTCCTATTATACAGTAAGGTATAATGGTGCTTAACAAAACAAATGTGACATGCACTCCTATTATACAATAAGGTATAATGGTGCTTAACAAAGTAAATGAGATATGCATTCCTATTATACAATTATGATATAATGGTGTATGATGAAAAAAAATAATAAGGCATTTGAGAAAAGGGGTGTGTGATGGACATTCCTATTGTACAACAAGGTATGATGGTGTTTGAGTTAAAAAATTCTTAAATACATGTTTCTAAATATATGGAAAGAAAAGGATGGTTCACTAGCTTGATTTAATATTAAGATTGTGGTACCATGAATTGAGAATTTGAGAAATATGAATATGAATTTTATGAGCTAGTAGACATGTGGGTTGATTTGAAAAAGTGAGAAAAAGAATGAGTTAAATCTCTTCATTACCCACTCTTCATTACCCACTATACCACCAACTAGGCCTTTGGCAAAAACAAAAGTTGGAGGAAAATCTATGATCACAGTCCAAGGTCTAGTGCTCATTGAAGGGGATAGGGTTCAAACCCAATAATGTAGAACTTACTAGGAGGATACCCAACCCAAATTCTAAGAATTGGGGTTCAAATGGAAAAACGAATCAAAAAGAAGTCATTGTTGAAAGATGCATCAATATTTAATGGAAAAAATTTTCAATCCCATCCTTAAGGTGAGGATGCATCTATCCCATAATGAATTGAGGGTTGAGTTATATACTCTTAATGAAATTTGTAACTTAATGAGTGGGATGTCTTAGTTATGGGAGTACTCTTGACAAATTTCACCTATATGGGTGTCGAAGTGAGGCTGCTTTTATGGAAATTGGATGAGCAATTTTCTAGATCACTCATGAAAATCGAGATCATGTGCAAGGCCATAACACACTAGTTATGTGAAAAACTCAACATTCAGATTATTATGTGTATGATACGATTCTTATATCTTTCAATGGGGTCATAGTTCAAGACTTAACTCACTATTGATTTTGGATTAAAAATTGTTGACTCACTAAGGGTCTGTTTGGTACAGCAGTTGAGTTCTGAACTTACTTTAAATATCACCTCATTTCTCCATAGCCACATAAAGCCATTTTAAAAGTTAAAATTTGATTTTCCATGTAAAAGATTTTAAAATTGTGAAAAAAAAATTATTTTTAACAAATTGCCTTTTAAGATTTCCCAAACTCCCTCCCAATGGAGAACTCAAAAATTCATAAAAAATTTACTTTTTCCATTTTCAAATTAAGAAATTTTTATGCCAAAGAAAGGTAAGCCTTTTTATTGCCATGGCAATGAACTGATCATTAAAGCATGTATATTGTATGGACCTTGATTGGTGCACACCCGGATCCAACACCCGGGTGTGCACCCCCACATAAAAAAAAATTTGGACCGGGTGATGATGGGCATTTTTTTTTTTCAATGGGGAGTGTGCACACCCGGGTGTTGACCCGGGTGTGCACAGATCATTTTCCATATTGTATAATGGTGTTCTCACCTTCTTCTTCTTCCATTTTTTTTTTCTTTTTTTTTAGCCGATATAATGGTATTTTATTAAATTGTTCTATTCTAAAAAAGAACAGAGACAAAACTCTATTCCACTTGAGGGGAGTTCTCAAATCGAGTTTGTTATCAGTTTTTATATTTTAAGTGAAAAAAATGCTGCATCTTGGTGCATCTTGCTACAACAATCCTTTAAAGCCATTGGAGCAGAGGCTTTGCCTTTTTTAAAAAAAAAAAAAGAAAAAATTTCAATCTAAAATTTTTTATTTAAATTTATAAAATATTAATTGAATAAAATAATAGTTTTATGATTTTTAAAAAGCCTTATACCTCGACGACGAGAATCTGCAATTTTATTAGGTGTTTTATTTAAGGTTTATACTTACTTATCTCTCCATTCTTGTTTAAAGAGTTATTTGGTGGATTTCCTTTGATAATAATATACAAAGGCGAGACAGAACTCCTAAAAACGAAGACTTGTATAGCTGGCAAGATGAGAATTACCAAACGCAGGACATAAAACTGCATGCGGTAATACAATTTAAAAGGTTTAAAGTG